GGAAGAAACACTGAATTGCGCCTATTTCAAAATCAATTCGATTAGAAATGTAGAAGGTGAAAATCAAAGTTATCTTTTTAAAGCTCATTTTCGTTTTTAAAAGATGTTTATGAAAATGGTTGCATAACACACACACACACACACACACACACACATATATATATATATATATATATATATATATATATATATATATATATATATATATATATATATATATATATATAAAAATCAAAGTTCGTATGTGGGTTTATTTGTTTGTCTTTTATGCATTATTACAACTTTCATCCGATCGCCATTAAACTTTGGGGAGTTGATGAGAATACTCCAGGTAGAGGCGTAGCGACCTATTTCGGCGCCTGTAGCGGACTACCAATTTTGCTCCCCCTCCATCCCATTTGTATTTATAGTTATTCCTGTCTGTGAAAAAGCGCCCCCCCCCCATCCCAGTTGGAAAGGTTTGTGGCGCTTCTTACCAGATTTTATCCGGTACGATTTTGGTGCAACAAAAATGATATAAAAAACGGTTAAATCAGTGTGTAAAGCTTGTTGTCGATTATTTTCCTAACTTTGACTGTGTATAATTCAATACTTCAACTTAAAAGCTTTTTAATTAATTTCTCTACCCCTTTTGGCATCCCCTTAGTGTCGGCGCCCGTCGCGGTCGTCCCACCCGCCCTCGCCTAGCTAAGCCACTGACTCCAGGGGAGGTTTCTACTTTAAACAATTTCAGTTTCTCAGAGGTGACGACGCCCCGGCAGGGTGCGATTACATTTTCCTCGCTATACAGTATATTAAAATAAATAAAGGATGCAGTTTTACACCGTTCATCCGAGAGACATGAAACTTTGAGGGGTTGATAAGAATACGTCAGGGGAGGTATCTGCGGAAAAAAAATGAAATTTCGCAGGGGCAGGGTGCGATTTTTGGCGCCCGCGTTCGTTTTAAATAGTGGATAAGATGGGGTATTATTGTTGTTCACTAAATTGAGTAAGGGTGCAATTTGGTGCCCCGGGTTTTCCTGTGAGCGCTATTGTGCAAAGTTCGTTTTAAAAAGTGCAATAGGGCTACTATAACAATTCACTAAATCGAATCGGGCGCGTTTAATACGCACGCCGACAATAAAATAGGTGCCTTCGTTAACCAACAGCTAGTACAGGTCCGAGTCCACTACAGGTGTATCGACTTTACTTTCGTCTAGCTACTTATCACTGACGGTTTTTGCTTTATGCTTAACTAGCTAAAATAAACAGATAGCTTACAGATACAAGTAGACAGCTTAACAAACCAAAATAAACAGATAGCTTATAGATACAAGTAGACAGCTTACCAAACCAAAATAAACAAACAGATAGCTTACAGATACAAGTAGACAGCTTAACAAACCAAAATAAACAAACAGATAGCTTATAGATACAAGTAGACAGCTTACCAAACCAAAATAAACAAACAGATAGCTTACAGATACAAGTAGACAGCTTTTAACAAACCAAAATAAACAAACAGATAGCTTACAGATACAAGTAGACAGCTTAACAAACCAAAATAAACAAACAGATAGCTTACAGATACAAGTAGACAGCTTAACAAACCAAAATAAACAAACAGATAGCTTACAGATACAAGTAGACAGCTTAACAAACCAAAATAAACAGATAGCTTACAGATACAAGTAGACAGCTTACCAAACCAAATATATGAACAGATAGCTTACAGATACAAGTAGACAGCTTAACAAACCAAATATATGAACAGAATATCTGGCAAACGCACAGATTAGCCTGCCAGTTTACCTGGCCAGTGAAGGTTACCTGATTGATGTGTGGTGGGGGGGGGGGGGGAGTGACCAGGCAGGATTTTTCTCTTAGAAATTACTAGGAAATAAGGGGGTGATTCTAGGTAATATGACGTCAAACGTCATGAAAATTACTTACTTGCCACAAGATATTTGAGGTCTGCTTGTATTTGGACGGGGATAGAGGGGTGGGAAGGGAGAGGCAGGAGAAAAAAAAACCTATATGTCCGTGCTTTTCTGATCGTTACATTCAGTGGCGTAGCCAGGATCGTCTCAAGGGGGGGGGGGGGGGTTCCATTTTTACCCGAGGACAAAACTTTCGATTTGCACCCCCCTTCAAACTTTCGATTTACACCCCCCCCCCCTCAAACTTTCGATTTGCACCCCCCCCCCCCTCAAACTTTCGATTTGCACCCCCCCTCAGACTTTCGATTTGCACCCCCCCTCCCCCTCAAACTTTCGATTTGCACCCGCCTCATACTTTTTATATATATACCGCCACTGGTTACATTAGTAAACTGATCACAGAGTCTACTAACATAATACCCCCACCCCACCCCCCCAAACATAAAGAAATGGCTGGCCCATAACAACATTAACATATATATTAAGGAGCGCTACGTGTAATTAAAAACCTACTGAGTCACTCATATGACTTTATTAATTTAAAAAAAAAAACATCCCGTGACACAATTAAAAAAAAATCCAGGATACAAATACAATTTCAATCAATGGCTGTGTACGGGAATTTCCGAAGAAAGAATTCGGAAAGCCCAAGCGAAAACAATTTTCTAGCAAACAGGTATGTCGCGTGCAAGGATGTTCATAAAGTGACCTTTTAGACGGAATATAAACTGCTTGTTAAAATACAAGCAGGGTCTACCTTCTTGAATGCAATGTGCATCTTTAATTCTATGTAATTTAAATAAAAAATTGAGTAGAAAGATAGTAAAATGGCTATCTATAGCTTGCAGACATGACAGCCTTGTGGCTCAATTTAAAAAAAGACAGTAAATTGTAAAAATACATCTTAGAACAATTATGGAAACACGAACTGTCATATTTAAAATTGGGATCTTTGAGCGGATCTTGCACTCGACCAGCATACGACGATTTCATTAGGAGCCAGATTTTGTACTTAAAGTGCCCTCTTATTAAAGTTTTTAAAAAAATGGTATTGTTATAGCTAGTTTGTTTAGACCTTATTTGAACCCAACACACCACCAGCAAGCACCTAAGACAAAAACCTGTTGTACCTGCTAGTACAACCTAAGATCCTTTTTTTTTCAAATTTATTCAAATATTAAATATGTTGGTCTAACATTTAAAACGTCTTTCTTAGCGAATTCATATGTCATTTGAAATAGATTTCTGTACGATTTAGTTTTTTAACAGTTGACTAATCTTGTATTTCTCCAGGCCAAGCTACTTGAGTTTGTAGCTTCACGTTAGGAGACTGGTGATTTTATCGCATGTCACTAGGGAACTCTGTGTCAAGCACTGAACCACCCCAGCGCATCGGCCTCAACCAATCGCAGGATGAATAATAAAGTAGGGAAAGTCCCTAAGAAGGGTATTTCCCTTTTGGTCAACGCTTTTTTGTTTATCAACTTTAAAGGTGTGGACGTTAAGCAGTAGATACTTTTATAATGAACGATTTTGTCTTTCATTTCCCAATTGTTTTTTTCTTTGATTATATGTGCATTAGTTTAACTCCTGTTACACGATTGTTTTAATTCTCAATAAATAAAAACTGTAAAATGGTCCCATTAAAAATATATGTGGTGGCTATTAATTACTATTATTGTAGTAGTGTCTGTGAGTGTAATAATGTTCTGAGAGTATTGGTGTCTGGCTCTGTTTTAATGTTTAGGGCATTAGTAGTGTATGCTGTTACTGTAATGATTGTTAGTAGTTGCACTAAAGGGTTGGGTGTATGTTCAAAATGGATATCATCTGCTGTACTAAGCATTAAAGGTAGTTGCACTAAATGAACTAATGGACTCAAAAGTAGGGGTACTTTTCAAATATTCAGTAAAGAATACGGTAAAAACAGGAGTAGGGGTGGGTATGTACATATTTAGAACTACGTAACTCGATATGGAATTTATTATTTCTAAGAATCCACGAAGACAAAGATTTCCTAATTTTAGGCGGCGTTGGCGGATGTTATTTATAGATGGCCTCGCATTAGGTTTAGATCAAAAGGTTAACAAATTTTACTACCTGGACAAAGTAAAGTGTCATTCGTGCTTTTGAGAAGCTTCCCTAGAGGGGCGGGGCAGGGGGGGGGGGGGGGGTTGGATTGAACAGACGGGAGGGAAGGAGGTAGGCTGTGGATAAAGCTGTATAGAGTGTAATCTCTTAGGGTGTAATTACCAATATAACACAATCTTATATATATATATATATATATATATATATATATATATATATATATATATATATATATATATATATATATATATATGAACCAACATAAATCAAGTAGCACTAAAAATATTTTTTTAAATAACACTATCTTGCATTTATAAGTGTCCACATTATTTAGATGGAGTTGACATAATAGTTTACGTATTATCGAGGATAACTATACTATAACTTTACGCGTAACCTATCATCATCAGAAACATTACCATCACTGTGATTGTGACATAAAGATCAATATATCATTAAATTAATGTGTTCAATATAGTTGGTAATAATTTGATAGATTTGTTTTCAATTTATTTTATTTTTAGCCAACCCATTCAGTGTGGGTATAAGTAGGTAGATCTACAACGCTTTTTTTCAACTTGGTTATCGTACAATCTAAATCACGATACAAGTCTGTGGGAATTAAAGTGTCGATAAAAATAAAATATAGGTTAGATTTGGGTTTTTATCATTGGTCGAGAACTAACCAATGATAAAATGTTTTCAATGCGTTGGATGACCTGGTTTCTCCTTCGATTTATTTTTATCGGGGTACTGTTAAGTGAAAAACAAATGTCAGAAATTAAAAATAAGTTTGTACTTCCAGTATATACCACAAATCGAAAACAGAACATACATATATTATTATATGTTATTTTTTTTTACAAAAGTTAATAACGATTGTTGTATAAAAATACATTTCTTTTCAAGAAGTACCTTATCAGAACCTCAGCCTCAAAGTGGGATTGTATTCCGAGAAAAATTTGGAGCAAGTATATATCGTGGTATCCCGCACATTCTCTAGTAAACAAGTGTTTATACCCAGCACTGTTCCTCTATTGGACCTAGAACTAGATTAGAACTTATACATTGGACACACAGAATTTGACTTAACGAGCGTGATACTGAATGGATTATTACACTCACGTTTGAACTATTCATTTAAGAGGGAGCTTAAATAACTTTGTGGCATTGTGGATTTAAAACATAATCTAAATAGTGTACACAGCAGAATGCCCGCAGCAGGTAAGATTTGAAGACTGGACATACACAATTCTATTTGATTGTTTTATGTTGTTAATGACTTTAGATGTGCTCATATCGTTGTAATCGTAACACGGTATGTGTTGTTTTGGACGTAAGGTTTTGTGCAGTAATAATACTTTCCAAACAATTTTTAAAAATGTTTGGAAACTCTTTTTATTAATTGCGGTGTTCATTATTTAGTAGATTTTTGTTTCTTATTTATACTTTATAGATGTGACTTTCACTACTAGAATATTTGTGTTTTTTTTTTGTATGATGTTAATATTGTTAACTGTTTAAGTATTTCTGTTTCTTAATAGTATTTTATTAGTGATATTAATTATTTTAAATATTTCTTGTTCTCCTCTGTATTCTGTATATTAAATGTGACGTTCACTCTTCGAATATTTCTGTTTCTTATTTGAAGGTTACTTTATATGACGTTCACTCTTCGAATATTTCTGTTTCTTATTTGAAGGTTACTTTATATGACGTTCACTCTTCGAATATTTCTATTTCTTATTTGAAGGTTACTTTATATGACGTTCACTCTTCGAATATTTCTGTTTCTCATTTGAAGGTTACTTTATATGACGTTCACTCTTCGAATATTTCTGTTTCTCATTTGAAGGTTACTTTATATGACGTTCACTCTTCGAACATTTCTATTTCTTATTTGAAGGTTACTTTATATGACGTTCACTCTTCGAATATTTCTGTTTCTTATTTGAAGGTTACTTTATATGACGGTCACTCTTCGAATAATTCTGTTTCTTATTTGAAGGTTACTTTATATGACGGTCACTCTTCGAATATTTCTGTTTCTTATTTGAAGGTTACTTTATATGACGGTCACTCTTCGAATATTTCTGTTTCTTATTTGAAGGTTACTTTATATGACGGTCACGTTTCAAGTATTTCAGTTTCTAATTCGTACTTTTTAAACTCCTAGGTTTTACGTTTATCGAACAATATCAAAGTCTTGCTAAAAATTTAGAACAACATGCATCTGATGAGGATATTAACTATGATCAGCAGGTGAGTCACTCATTCTTTTAGAAGGTAATTTTAAAAAGCTGAAAAATGCTCAGTATTTGGTAGAACAAGATGTCAGGTTCTTTAGTGTACGTCAAAGAAAACAAAGACTTTTTTTTTAGCGTGCACTTGGATTTAGAGATTACCAGTAGCTGGTGTGTCGTGGGATGTTACCTGTGATTGTTTAGAGATTACCAGTAGCCGGTGTGTCGTGTGATGTTACCTGTGATTGTTTAGAGATTACCAGTAGCCGGTGTGTCGTGTGATGTTACCTGTGATTGTTTAGAGATTACCAGTAGCCGGTGTGTCGTGTGATGTTACCTGTGATTGCAGTACGTGCCCGGGTTATTAAGTTTGCCGCAGTCCTTTGTACTTGGATACATCATGTAGCTTAAATCAAACATCTAACTGCTTCAAATGCCGCAGTTGTTGGAAGGCATTTGAACAAGATTCTATTTTTTTTTTTCTTCAATTTTTTATTGTGCCTTCACTTGACACAACTTAGCTCCCCTGGTGCAGTAAGATGAGTGTAGCTGGGAAACAATTTCACGCTCCAGTGGCCACTAGTTGAAGCTCTCTTTGTTTTCATGCGGCTAGGCCGACGTAATTTGATGTCCGATATGGAATGCGAGCTTTGATGTCCCCACAGGTGTACCGTCCCAGATCGCCGTTGGTGGCGCGTGAACATTTTGGCGTCATTGGACAGTTTTTTTCAGTTTATCGACGTCAGCCAAACGTCCTGAACTCTCTCGCCAGGCCGCTGGAGTCTGAGACAGCTATGATAAAGCTGATCCATTCATTTATTAATTTAAAACTATCTTGAGACAATTTTTCTATGTGTTAAAGTAAATGTTGTTTACTTTCAGGTTCCCCAGCCGAGTTTTGAAAAATTGATAAAATCAGAAATCAAAACAGAGAGCGAGGATAACCAAGAGTGCCCGTACATGGACGCCATGTTTAACTCTAGTGGGGCACATGACAAAGTGGCACCTGACAACTTCTTGTCTACCATCTTCAGTCCAGACGCAAGTTACAATCATGAACATACTGACTTTCTGACCAACAGGGCTTCCCCCAGCTCTTGTTTCAGTTCCTCAACCCTCCTCACCCCCGTGTTGCCCAGCCCCCCTCAGTTCTTGTCCACATCTAGAACAAATTCCTACAATTACATCCATGAATCTGGAACAAGCGGATGTGTGGTCACAGAAAACAGTAACGGTGAAAGTTCAAATGACCACAGCTTAGAGTACATTGACCTTGATAAGCAGAAATTTTATGATGTCCTTGACCCATATTCAAGTAGCGGAAAATTACCGTTTTTAATGGAGGAACCAAACCCTCTTGAAGTACCGCTAGAAGAAGCGGTTTTAAAAATGCACAATGACATTCGAAATGACTCAGATAAACTTAACATTCCATTCGGTAAGTACCCGCTTGACTTATACTTAATGCAAGTCCTTAGTTGTAAGAAAAAACTGTGTCTTGTCATATGCCAGTTTTCACTGAAGTTTGACCTAATGCAGATCCTTACCTGTGGAGCCGAAATGACGTGCAAACATTTGTCCAGTGGGTCTGTAACAAGAATAGCCTGCACTCAGTGGCCCAGGTCTGCCATAAACTTAGCTCGTGTGATGGTCAGCAACTGTGCAGCCTCAAGAAAGCCGACCTGTCAAGCCTCTTTGGTCAGACGGGTGTCTTCTTATACAACGAACTGGAGCTGTGGAAAGCTGGTGAGTAAGACATCACTGCTGCTGCAGGCTCTCTCTCTCTCTCTCTCTCTCTCTCTCTCGATTAATGACGTAATCAAGATTTTGTTATTTGATGGGATGTCATGTTTTCTAACTGTATTTGATTTAATTTTTAAAAATCTCCCCCCCCCCCATGTAGCCAACAATTTTTTCCCAAGCAACTACCTCCCTTGTGATATCCCCACCTTGGCAGGCCGCCACTGTTACCACGAGACCAGCAGCGAGCCCACCTATGTGAAGACCAGTGTCTCTCCCGCCCCCAGCACCAGCAGTAGCCATGACAGTACGATCTCCACCCACTCGGATCACAGTGATGACGAGCCATTTTACGGTAAGATTTCAACTTTTAAGAATGATAAACCACCTCCTCCTTTAACGAATTGAAACTATTTCATAATAACGAAAGATGAACTGAACTGAACCTTTCTTTCCCTTTTCAGCTCACCCAAGGAAATCCCCAGTGTTTACAAGCCATGAACATTTCACTAAAACGATAAATAAGGTTCCTAGCGGTCGAGGTCATAAGCAGACGATACATCTATGGCAATTCTTGAAAGAGCTTCTCCTGTCTAACGAGAATCACTCAGACTGTATCCGATGGGTGGATAGACCTGCTGGTATTTTCAAGATTGAAGATTCCAAAAAGGTGGCCCACTTATGGGGCAGCAGGAAGAACAGACCAGCAATGAACTACGACAAACTAAGTCGCTCTGTAAGGCAGTACTATAAGAAGGGAATCATTAAAAAAACAGAGCAGTCCAAGCGACTAGTCTACCAATTTTGTGCTGGCTATTTGTGAAGAAATGAAAGCTATCCAACAGCTGCTATGTAATTGTTGGTGACTGTCTTGTCCCCGGCCAGACTCTGATCCTTGTAATCCAGCAAGTAACCCTAGCACTGGATGAGAGATCCGTAAGTGTCTGTATGGAGAGAATGGTTGTGAGGAGAACCAGACAAGAACTTTCAAACATAGGCCTACATTTGTTTTGTCCCAGAGAAACGTTCAAAACATTTTGACCAGATTAAAATGGGCTCTTAAAGACCAAAACAATGAGGCGTTTATAAGCCTAGGCATGCTATTAAAAGCAGATATTTATTCTGTACTTAAAACATTATCTGGCTGGCTACCAACTTGTTATGTTTAAAATTCTCCGATTTTTTTCGTGTAACTAGACGTCTATATATATTTTTTTTAAAGTGCAGCATTACAAGTGGCTTTCTTAAAGTTGTACATATCCTGATGGAGATTATTTTATGTTTATAGCTATACTTTCTCTTTTATAGAATTCCTCACAGTCTTCTTTTTTTTTACATCAAGCAAGCAAGCCAATCCTAAGAGTTGGATTAATTTTAAGCTGTCCAAAATCGTTATTTAAAATTGTTAAATATATTTTTAAAAATCAACTTTTTTTTAGCAGTGTATCATTGGTGAAACATTTACTCTTATATTCATTGATTTTCTGCCCTAAAGGAATTCTATCCAAAAATAACGTGAACTTAAAATATATTATGTATCATCTTCTATTGTACATAGATCTAGAAACAATATAAATATGCATTTATTTGATACTTGATTCATGCGCGAAAGCAAAAATGTTGATGTTTAAGAGATGACAGCTTTGTTTCTTGTTTACTCAACTGCTGCTGGTCAGCTAGTCAACCCCCCTCCCCCCATCTCTTTTGTTTGCAATGTTTTCAAAATGCCAAAGTGCATACAAAAATCCATTATTAATTTAAAGATGAGAATATAAAGCCGCCTAAAACCTACATTTTGATACTGAGTATGCATTGTGTGCTTTGCACATATCGGCAACGCGATCTGATTCAAATTGTAAAGCCTAATGGTTCTATTTGTCCTTAATTTGTTTTTAATCTTGTCACATTTGAACATTGACGCCTCGAATGAGATGTGAACATTGGTTCTCTAGATTACAGAGAACATTCCCTAACAGTGGTATTCAATCTTCACATCTTTTGGAAAAAACCCTGTCCTAGCACTCGATGCAGTTTTTTAACAGAACATCCGATATCGGAACGTATCACAAAGAATCAGATTTATTTTTAATATGTGCAATAACCTTTTAAAATGTTTTAGATATATATGAGACTTTCTTCAACTACTGTCGTTTAATTAAAAAATAGCTTTAATTAATTTATGCCATAACCAGGCTATCGACTTAGGATGATGAAAACACTGATACTGAGACCAATTAATTACTACTAGAGTACTGTAAATATGCCTACTATCACGTCGTTTTATTTACTTCCAACATCTAAAGCTACGGCTTTTTCTATGCCAAGATATTTTATACTGAATAAATATTTTTTTTTATAAATATAATCTTGTTCTAATTGTAAAATGTGTGTAGACTAAGCAGAGTTTCTTCCATGCATCTCTTCGCAGAAAGTCTTCCGCCCCCCCCCCCCCCCCGAACAACATGGAATTTATATAGATACATATACTTTTACCAGTGTCCGCCCCCCTCCCCCCGGAAAATGTTGACCGCCCCCCCCCCCCCCCCCAAAATATCAAGTGCCCCCCCCCCCCCGATGAAAATAGTCTGGAAGAAACACTAAGACTAAGGTCTAGTATTTGTAAAAAACATTCTCGCGAAATGAAGTTGATCGAAGCAATGGTGGACTGGGACCCCAGGAAAATTCTCGGCCTATTAGTGCTTTAAAAAAATGTTGGTAGGAAAAAAGATGTAAAAGCTCTTTTTAAGTTGCAGCTTTGAATAATCGACAAAGGAGTTAAAAACGGCAATACATACAGATTTAACTACTTTCTACCTTGACAATGTAAAATAAATACCCTTAAGAAACGTCGACCGGCAAAAACCTCTTTCAAACTTTATCCAAGATAAGGGCGGGGGGGGGGGGGGGGGGATTTAAACTGGATTGGTGAGTACATAACACTTTATACTTAAAAAAGAAACCAATTGTATTTAAAGTGTATTTTGTAACAGTAAAATATGAAAAAGATAAGGGGGGGGGGGCGCTTTTTTGCCAAGGTAAATGGGTAGGATTTACACCGGAGTGGTGGGTAGATACATCGTTTAACACTTAGTATAGAAACCAGTTGTATTCACGCGTAGTGTAGAATTTACTAATCAGTTTTGTTAAAGAATGACGCAACTAGCTCTAATTCTTTGTAAGTGGAAATTACGATTCTCTCAACTTCTTCGTCAGAGATCAGATCAGAGTTTCTTCCAGGCATCTCTTCGAACGAAATGAAATTTATATAATTTATATAGAAAATATATACTTTTAACAGTGTCCGTCCCCCCCCCCCCCGAAGAAAGTCTACCGCCCCCCCCCCCCCCCCCCCCGAAAATTTCAAGTGTCCCCCCCCGGAGAAAAAGTCTGGAAGAAACACTGGATCAGATACTTTTTACAAGCTTTTATTTTTAACTTGCTTCCTCGTCCAGTCTGTCGACAGTCTGTCTGTCGTCATAGATCGAAACGCCCGAGCGAGATTTTGGGCACTTCAAACTGACAGATTCGTTTCAAAGTTGGCACATGGGTCAAGACCTAAATACAATGCAATATGACATTAAATTTGACTTAATTGGATGCCTAATTATTTTTTTATAAATTAATTAAAATTTTCTGAAATTATTAGGCAGTCTTATCCAACTATTCCGCACTATTATACTATTAATAGTTTTTAGTCATGCAACTGTAATAAAAAATAATTTTAAAGTACTGAAAAACAAATTCATAAAAAACGTTAAGCTTTAATGTAATAATGCACTATTAAGGAGAAAAGAAACGATTTTCTTTAGTTAAATACTCTACTATTTAAAAATCTATAAAGGAAATAGTGGGTCGCTTCATAAATATTAGTAAAAGTATCCAATACATATTATGGCGACCCACGCTATATTTTTCCTGGTGGCCGGATTTTTCCTCGATGACCCAGCGGAAAGTAAATTACTAGATCTAGTAAGGTAATCGATAACAAAGTAGTTCGTTGTCTACAATGTCAAGCTCAAAACTGAGCAGTGGCCACCCCGCAAAAACAAATTTTGGGCCTCCCCATATATATATATATATATATATATATATATATATATATATATATATATATATATATATATATATATATATATATATATATATATATATATATATATATATATATATATATATATATATCAAACAAAAAATATGGACATAGGATACTCATTTCTGGCCTGATCGGGTTTTGAAAAATAAAATACATTTTTTTCTATTAAATCAAATTACAACAACTTCTCAAGTGTGTGAGTGCTTAGTCTGTTTTGAAAATCTGTTTTATTTAATTTCTGCTGTATTATTACTAACTGGGGAAACGGTCGAAAGAATATGAAAAATCAAAGCTTTGTATGTGTAATGGTTTCTCGTGTTATGTTTATTTCAATGTCTTTTTGTATTTATATTATTAATTTTAAATACATTTCCTTTTTATACTATGTTATTCTTTAGTATGTATTTTTTAAAGAAATAATAATTAAGAGAAGTAATTGCTTTTGTAATTTGTTTATTACAAATCTATTAAAAGGACCTTATGAGCACCCTTATTTGACTATTGAAAAAAGGGAAATAAGTAATGGAAGTGGTTTAACCGTTTGCCTATCTTTCACAGTGATTTAAAAACAATGGGAAAAAGAACATACAAGAGCGTGGGATGGTGTCTATAAATTAAAGATAATCCAACCGCAGCTGTAGTATTCTTGTTACAAAACAACCATAAAGTCAAAAATAAAAGAAAATTAAAGTTTTTTAATTATTAAAAAATTGATTATGGTCGGCTGTGGGCCCCCTAAATGGCGTCCCCCCCTGCACTGCGGGGTCTGGCGGCACTGTAGTTCCGCCCCTGAAACTGAGCCGAGCTATTATGTAACTATGATATAAAAAGGATGTTGTAATGTAACTGGTGCGACCAAAATATAATTTGACTTGTCAACAAAACGTGATAATTGATGTATACAAGTTTTTTTTTTTTATAATCAACGCAATAGACACCGAAGGGTCCACCAATGCAAAATATAACGCAATTGGTGGTAGCGAAATAGAATAGTTTGACACTGAGAGAACTAGCACACTAACAGGAAGTGTCAGCTACATTTGGGTACGTTCGCAGAAAGGCCGAGAGTGCGATCGGGCGCAGAAAGCTATGGGAGATGTAGAGAACGGTTGTGTGCAGAGATCGGCTGTGAGAGAACGGTTGTGTGCAGAGATCGGCTGTGAGAGAACGGTTGTGTGCAGAGATCGGCTGTGAGAGAACGGTTGTGTGCAGAGATCGGCTGTGAGAGAACGGTTGTGTGCAGAGATCGGCTGTGAGAGAACGGTTGTGTGCAGAGATCGGCTGTGAGAGAACGGTTGTGTGCAGAGATCGGCTGTGAGAGAACGGTTGTGTGCAGAGATCGGCTGTGAGAGAACGGTTGTGTGCAGAGATCGGCTGTGAGAGAACGGTTGTGTGCAGAGATCGGCTGTGAGAGAACGGTTGTGTGCAGAGATCGGCTGTGAGAAAACGGTTGTGTGCAGAGATCGGCTGTGAGAGAACGGTTGTGTGCAGAGATCGGCTGTGAGAGAACGGTTGTGTGCAGAGATCGTGTGATGACGGAGATGAAGAATGCCGATAGTGGATACACACGTGGTTGGCCTTGGCTATCGTGGCCCATAAGTGCAGCTAAGATTGATTGAGGATTGAGACCGGGCTCCTCATAAAGGGTACATTGAATGTAGTTGTCGCAGAGAATGGTTGAAGGCAGATAACAGTGTCAGTAGAACGTGAGATACGGAGAGATACATGTTAGAACTTGTGACATTGGAGGTGTGTTGATTCTCGTGTATTCTTGGAGCAGTGATATAAAGTGTTGTAATCTCGAACCTGCAGTCAGTGTGTGATTCTTTATATGAGTTGGATATGTCAGTGCCAAATGAGGTGTCCACAGACTAGCGGATGAATTCCAAATACATACACGACAGGGGGTTACATACCTCTGTCGCATTTGGGTGCTGCGAAAAGGGGTTTAACGCAACCTAACAAAGAACGTCACTCACTCACTGGAAAACAAGTAGGACTTAGAATAAACCACCAAATGACAAAAAACGTTAAAAATTAGTCATTAACAAGAAAGTGATGTAAAATTAGAAAACCCAAACGTTGACCAAGTGGACAGCTTTATATATTCCGGAAGTGTGGTCAATGTGCGGGAGGAACAGACGAGGACATCAAAGGCAGAACAGGCATGTGTCAGTCTTGCAACGGTCTGGTCAGACATCTCAAACAACACTAAATAACGAATGTTTTACTCAAATGTAATAAAAGTCCTGCTATACGGATCCGAGAAATGGAAAACAGAGGTAACAACAAAAAGAATCCAGACTATTATTAATAGGTGTCTATGGAGTATATTAAAAATTAAATGGCAAGACAAGGAAGAAAAGACAAAGTATGCGATATGTGTGGACAGAAAACAATAGCAAGGCAAATCATGGAGAAGAAATGGTAATGGATTGGGCAAACGCTTTGGAAGTACGCTGGTAATAGAGTCAGATAAGCCTTGGAGTGGAACCCCCAGGTCAAACGACGAAAGGGTCCACCAAGGAAGATATTGCGACG